AGTGAAGACTCGGGTCTTCGTTAACTTCATTTGAGAATGCAGAATTTGCATTTATTAGTGAATAAAATAGTTTACGTCATTGTTTGACAAAGTGAACGTCGCCAGTAGCACAAGTACTCCAGACAATATTAATACTCTTTGAAATTCCAATTTGGTTTAAATTTATTTATTATTCAGAAACAATGGTGTGGAAGCTTTCTGATGACTGATGTGTGTTAGGGTGAAGCGGGTGTGTAATTCAAATGGTTTTATACGTCCTATTACATCAGTACTATACTACTTACGATGTAATCAGTGTGCGCTCCTCTGAGATGAAAGACGTAATTGTTCTTTTACAACCTGTACTTGGTATTTCGCCAAAGGGTGACATCCAGCCTCCTAGTTGCTCATTGTGCTACATTCATATAATAATTTATTGACCTCCTAAACAATAAATACAATGTACTTGAATACTACAGAGAGAGAGAGAGAGAGAGAGAGAGAGAGAGAGAGAGGAAAACGCATTATAATGCCCACATAACGTATATTGTACCATTTACTTATGTGTCTTCACAATAAATCCTCCAAGTATAAAAGTCCAAAATGTATTTTAAAGACTCCATATGTGTAACTGTACCTGTGAGTGATATGTGCAATAACTCCTTGCATCCATACCACTCCAAATACATTCAGAGATTTCCACAGAGCGTAGATCATTTTCCACTGTAGCTGGTATGTGTAATAAATTGTTCAGATCAACAACAAAAATACTTCCGCGTGGAACTAATTCTACCAGGGAGTAAACATTATCGACCTTTATTCCTTTTATTTATGTATTTTTATGGGTATTTATATAGCGCTATAGTCCATCCCATCTACATGCATGCTCAAAGCGCTTTGATTTTCTCTCGATCATTGAATGTCAATCTCAACTCCCTGGGGAACATACAGCTGGCGCAGCCACAAGGCGCATCAAGTTAATGTAGCTTTCCCATCCTTACGAGGTACCCATTCACGGCTGGGTGGACTGGGACACATAGCCACAGTACTTTGTCTAAGTTCTATTTCACGCTGCGTGCACGCACGAACGCACATACGGATGCACCCCTTACATTTATAACCTCCCCAACACGTTTATAACACTTCCACGTGTCGAATTGTTCACCTTTCTCGTAGACCTTTCCGCACAAGCATCAACTCTTCCACAATAAAAGACAACCAGGAACATGACAGCTTTTGTATAGCTCTGTGACGACCGATGTCAACCTTCTCGCTTCCCATATTGCGAATCTCACGTGACAAAGACCTAATTAGGGGGAGTATAATCAGAGTGAGGACAACGCTGCCCTACACCTGTCGCGTGCTGGACAGTCAATAACACTCGATACCCAGGGGTCGGACACGCATGGTTGTACCACGGGTACATTCAGTATGTCAGGCGGCCCTGAAAGCTTCTTCAATTTGCTGGACGACTCCACCAGTTGACCAACACAATTGGTTGACCAGAGGAACGAATTGACCGCCGCCCACAGTTCTGGCGTGTCCGCCCCTGCTGTCCGGTGTTGTCCGGTAACATCTCTCACAAAGAGCATCTCGTGTATGGAAGATCGGGGCGGTGTGTTCTGATGGCACCGACGTCGTACCGGCTGACCCTCGGGGCTATATCGTCTTGCTGGACACCTGTTAACCTGACCGTTCAATGTCACCAGACATGGGATGGACAATGTACCCGGGGTCATTAGGGGCCGCGAAAAAGCTTGTTCTCAAGCACATGGGTTTCGCCCACTAAATCCACGGATGAATGACCTGTTTGTACTGTTTACTAGAACGTGTATCAAACGTGGATGTTATATTGTGATGCCATCATCTTCCCTGGGAAAGCTCGTGTTCCATCATGACGATACATTCACAGCAATACGACACTGAAATATACCCCCATGTTTGACGGGAAACAAACAAGAAATACTATTACAGATATCCGATACGGGTATCCGGTGTATCGCTGTGTTCTGGGCCTTGGGTTTGCTGTGTTTCCGCGACTAATTTCAACCTGGACACACGTTCCGATAACATGTTTCATTTTGAGGTCACATCCAATTTTATGTTTTGGGTTGTTGTTTTTGTTTGGTTGATTTTTTTGTGTGTGTTTTTTTGTTGTTGTTTGTTTGTTTGTTTGTTTTGGGGTGGGGGTGGTGGTGGTGGTTTTTGCCTTGCAGTTTAGAACATCTTACGATTTTACTCTGATATATTTGTTTATTTTACTATTGATGCGTGTAAAAAATCTAAGATTAGTAGTGTGAATGAGTCAGTCATTACCACCTGGAAGTACATTTATATTTCAAATAAATTAGGATTTGAGACACATCTTTCGATGAAGTTTCGGGGCGGTGGGGTAGCCTAGTTGTTAAAGCGTTCGCTCGTCACGCCGAAGACCCGGGTTCGATTCCCCACATGGGTACAATGTGTGAAGCCCATTTCTGGGGTCCCCCGCCGTGTTATTGCTGGAATATTGCTAAAAGCGGCGTAAAACTGGATGAAGTTTAAGTTTATTTTAGCAAGGATAAGCCAAATCTACTGTGAAAAACAAAGGGAAACTGCAGCCTCGACATATGCAACGTTCATCGTGACCTTACAAGTACCCTTTACATCAAACATATTTTTTATAAGTCACACAAACATCCGATCCCAGCCTTGCCGGCAGTGTGACTTAATCACCTGCGTACGTGACGGCAACGCGGAATACCTGGCTAAAGGTGTACAACGAAAAACAAGCAAAGGTGATAAATGCTATTAGGTGCATCTCCACAAACACCGACATACAACCATAAAGGCTTTCACGGACCATACTAAACAATCAAATAAACTATCGGTTTTTTCTTTAATTGACAAGTCCATTACGTAGAGGCAAGAGCCCAAATATCCGCCTTCTGTCCATTCTCATTGAAGCTCTGTTGATGGAATGAAAGAGGCTGGAGACATCAAACAAACGCTAGTACTTCGCCATCAAAGTCGGTAATACGGGGTATTTAGCGACCGCCGACTACCCGACCTAGTCAATAGCCAGCGGTATTTGTGTGAAATATTAAGCATGGCTGTGTTGAATGGGGAATAGCTTCAGCGTCTACCCGAAATCACGAACGCGGGTGCCTTTCATATAATGTATGCATCGTAAGGGAGATTTCGTCTACCCGAGTACCAGTGTTGGTGGGTATTATAAAAGTTAAGACTGGAATATTAGAGAAGAAAGCGGGTGTTCACTCAAACAGCCTTTAAGACCCAGGTCAGTGAAAGAGCTATGGTGGATTTAGCCGGGTATTGGCGACGTAATTGCTCGGATTAACAAATCGATCTAAAAACCAACAGGGCGACTGTAAAGTGACACTTATCTTGAACAGGTAAACGTGGTGAGCGCTTAATCAACTCCCGTGAGTGTTAAGGGTTTGACATGCTCGTGATCTCTCTGGGATATATGAAGCTGCTTCTCTGTGTACTGGGTATGGCCCGTGTTAAACTGCAGCTCAGCTGGTGAAATAGACACATGTCGCGCATGGGCGACATGCGCTTGTTATGAAATCGACATGATGTTGTGATCGGGCGTTGTGATGAAATATCACATACACGCTCTGCATGTCATAATATCGCGTGAACTTGTCAAAGTCGGTTAAAGTTTGTGATCGCTATCTGCGCTTCGCGTCCATCAAATGAAATCAGCAGTTAGTTGATGGTGTAGATATACGTTGTGCCTCACGGAGTAGTTCAGGAGCTATCGCTTTCATTAGTGACAGCGAAACTGATCTCGGTCTTCTCTGATCGTCACTGTGAGGCGAGGATTGAGTGTCAGTGTACGGCCTAGCGGCGTGTTACCGGGAGAAGCGAGAGAGCTTTCTCTACAGTCAGAGCCAATGAACTAAACGTAAGGCTCTTTACAACGTAGGCCGATTTCGCCTGGAGTATTATTGTGTTGGTCGGAGATCGCGCTTGGCGCATGTTGGCCGTGTTCTGTGGATTACGTTGGTCATACCTGGATATTGTGTATATTATTCTGTGCTACGAGGTTGGTAATATTACTTTATTAAATTATGCAACGAATATCATGTTTGAAATACCTCCTTTTTCACAACCACGTGTGCAGTAATGCATACAGTAGGTTATTTATCGTTGAAAAGTATATTATTATTTATCATGAGTCATATGAATGGTCAACATGTGTGTGATAATGTATTGATGATGTTTACTCGATTCTATACATTTCTGGTAATTGGACTGAACATAAACACTACCATGGCCAATGATATGAAATAATTAACTGATATCTGCAACCATGTTCAATACATTACATTTGGACTGTCTCAATATAGCTGGAATATTGCTGAGTGTGGCGTTAAACAACAACAAACATTTGTTCTGAATATTATATATACATACATGTTGTTCGAAATCTTTGTTTTTTTCTGTCTAATTTATAATGTGCTTTTCAAAACATGAAATTTGACCATACCATGTTTTTATCACTGTTAAATATTATATTGTTTCAAAAGAAGCCCAAACTTCGTTACCATGTGTCTTTATATCTACAAAAACCTTGGATTTTGAAGAAGCACTGCAATCAAAACATTCCCTAAGTGTTAAGTACATCTGCCAATTGTCACAAGTGCTTGACAAGCGAACAGTAGCAAGTTGTTGACCCGATGTTTTGACAGCTCATCAAAACAATAGCAGTTAAGTACACCTGCAGTGCTCAAGCTAATTAGCAATTGTTATTCCAAGCTGTCTATTTCACTACATGTATGGTGTCATTGCCTGTATATTTCACTATCTACAAAACGTGACCTATCTCTACCTGCTTGTACCCAAACAGGGTTTGCCGGCCTGGAACTCTCTGCTATTTACAGTGATAAGATTCACCGGACCCCTTCAGATGTGTAACCAAGGAACTAAATGTACAAGAAAGCTGGGGACGCCCGCGTGAAGAAGAACAGAATTTCACAATTTATTGAAGCAATTTGCTTGAGGTTCTGCAAGTATGTTTGGCCTGAACACGCCTCTGAGTAAATCCATCTCCGGTGGCGACTTTGACTCTGTCAACGTCATTCTGGGAAACAGGTGAGAGTACACCACGTGCAGCACGTTTTTTCACTCTTTTTGCCTTTTTTATCAAGCAGGTGTCACCATTTGTTTAATGCTAAAGTTGAAACCCGGTTTTTATGTATGCAGACTACACTCACATATATCCGCGACGGATCTGATATTTAGGCTTCAACATTCATTGGCATTAAAGAGTTTGTAGAGCTGAAAGGCCGATCATCAAAATACATAAACAAGACATTTAATCAGTGGACGTATATTGTCACGATACACAGGGGTATATACCACGGCCCCACTCTAACATTCGACAGTCGCGTTTGGAACTTTCTGATTGGCTGTTAAGTCATGACAAAATATAATAAATAAAAAAGTATAATCCAAATCATATTTGTGATGGCAATGTACCAAATCGCTTCTACATTTATAATTCAATAACCTGCCGTTTGTGCAATTACACTGCCGGGCTTTTACCGTTTGAATGTTAACATAATTTTAATGCACATGCAACATATGATATGTTAATTACGTATTTGAACTAAGTACCACCGTTCTGATGATATTACTACTAGTATTTGTTAATTTTAGTTTTACGTCAAATGTGCATCGTTAGGAAAATGTCATTAAGTGTTTGGTGACAACACATGCATATTTTGCGACATCTGTTGTATCATTGATGTTTGAGGTGAGGTGAAATTGGGTTTAACGTCGTGCTTGAGAATATTTCGCTCATATGACGACGTCACTGGTGTTTGAAATTAGCTCGGCACATATGTAGTTCTGATAGAAACATGTGTGTATATCAGTAATCAACAGCTATGTCATCAGATGTTCAGCCAAATATTTCATACTTAAACATGTATATGGTGTTCGCTCAGTGTATACACCAGGTGAATATATAAAACGCTGAATATACACTTAGTGCTAAATACAAACCCAAAGACGCAGTACATCTTATTGGTAAGCAACTGGGATGTAATGGAAACTGTATATAACTGGTGTTGAATGGCAAGCACTGAGATCCACACAAACAGAGTCAAGACTCTCGGAACTTCAAATATGACTTGAGTTATTTGTATATTCATCGGTCAACTGAACAGCATCTCCCTCGGGGCCTGTGATTGACAACTGTTTTAGGTGAGGCCTGTGGCTACTTTACGCTGACCCAAGGCTGACCCACCGTTGTTAAATAGACTCACCTCGACGTTCTTCAAAGTTGTTTTGTGGGAAAACACAACTGGATGTGTCATGTTTGTGTTTGAAGTCCACACGCATATGATATATGCAATCGGACCATCCATCAAAAGCCTCGTATATCGCTTCACTTTCATCCCGCTTCTTTTAATGTTGAGAAAGGTCACTTACGTTCATACATCGCCTCGATGGTCTACTGGATAGAGCGTCTTCCCGGAGAGCAGAAAGTAGATTCGATCCCCGACCACATCACACTATAAAAATGGTACTTGTTGTTGCCTCGCCTGGCACTTCGCCTGGATGACGTTGAATCTGAATGCTGTGGTCTTGTTTATGTTAGGCGTGGTATCTGGTGTAGGACTATTAAACCGGTATTCATCAGTACACACACACATGCTCGTCGCTATAACTAACTGCAATGATTCCGAAACTGAAATCGAATTTAATTTAATCTTACTAACATTAAAAAAGCTGCAACTGTCTTTCACTGGAAATCCCCGGCGTATTACCAAGATGATCGATTCCCCGCGTGGGTACAATGTAAAGCCCATTTCTGGTGTGGTACTCGAACACACGTATTCATGTACGTCGCGATAACTACCTGCCACAAACCGAAACTGACAGCATTCTTCATTTAATCTTACTAACATTCGACAAACGGTAACTGTCTTTCATTTCAAAATCTCGGGGTATGACCATGTCGATCGTAGTTTCTTGTTCATTGTTTGATGCTATGTGGAGTCTTTGCACAAGTTTGACATGAAGCCGTCATTTCTTAGATAATCGCAACTGCCAATTATTCTCCAGTTTCAAACTGGAAATACTATCAATAAAACACACGGATGTTTTAGGTAATGAAAGTACAAAACATTTAGAGCAAAATAAATAAGCTTCTACTATTTATAAATACGCTTACATTAACTTGATCGTACATCAGAGACATACTTGGACGTCCAGTTTTTAGAATTATTGAATGATATATGGAAAATCTGTAATTTAAAACCATAACTTTAAGGTAGCTTAATCATTACAACGACACATCAGTGCTGCTCATCCACGGTGGAGGCGGTAAGGTAGCCCAGTAGTTGTGTTCTCTCGTCAAGATCCGAGTTCGAGTCCCCACATGGATACAATGAGTAAAACCCGTATCTAGTGTCCCCCTCCGTGATGTTGCATAGTAAAACCCAACTCACTTTCGCACTGTTTAGTAATACGCTGTGATGCAATTAGTTCATTCATGGAAACGCTTGCAAGTGCATCGTATTTCACTCAACGTAAACGTTATGTATTGTGCGCATGCACACATACGCTTTGTCTTAAATATCCCCCACACATGGTCACGTCCGTGTTCGACAAGGAATCCTTGCTCACTGAACATGTACGTGGTGTGGGTATACTGGATGAACAACCAACCGTACAACCATATCAAACCCACTTACCACCTGTACATCAAATATAAATAGCTGCCCTTTCAGTTTACGATCGACAATATGTGCCCACTTGACCTCGCCTGCAATTAAGACACCCAAACACTACATCATTGCTAGTTGTAGGTTTTGTTTATTGTTTGCCCATTTCATCAACCGTAATGGATATTAAACGACTATTTAGTACATAAATCATTCGCGGAGCCAAGTCATATTGACATATATGGTTTGTTGTGACTATCCAAAAGGTGTGCATTACTCCCACGTTTCCAAGACTAGCCAAGGCATGTTTGCATAACCGCATGCGTGACGTATTCCAATGCGATGTTTACACGTTCTGAAAAATTTCGGAAACAAAATACAAGAAGTTGTCGTCTCCCCGGCTGATTTATTATACAGGACAGACAGGCCATGTGTAATTGGTTTGAAATGGAACACTTACAGGTGCGATATATTTCACCCCGAGGTTACACATCACGATGTAGACAGCCAGGAAGAGTGGGTACATTTCACTCTGGGATACGGTAATAACATGCCCCGTGATCTAATTACTGCTATCACAAAGACAGTCTTCACCAAACTGGGTGTAATAGATGTCTTGTAAAGATGTATGTCGTCCACTCATTTAGAGTCTGCACGTGAGATGTAAACTAAACCTGTAGGGAAATTAGAAACCATTTGTTAGATATCCGGTGATTAGAAGAAAAAGTATGCAGGTGTTTGTAAATAACATTGAGACGAGGCAGTTAATTTTATATGCTTTACAGTCACTTTTCATTATGTCGAACATATTAAATCGCTACACGAACTTGTCTTCCCATGTACACCTGTAGTCCATCGTTCAAAGTCATCTTCGATTATCCAGGGTCATATATTTCCCCGCTGTCAGGATACGAACCCTGAACTCGTCACATTAAGTGTACCTCAATTTGGTTTGAGTATCTTTCGAGTAACATGATACTAAAATAGCTGTCCAATCAATTTAAATTGGAATTTCGCATTTTCTATGACATTATTTCTGAAAAAATCACAGCCTCTCAGAATATCATATGGTCAGTCTCTTAAATACAACACATATTACTGTGCAAATTTCTCTATATTTGTATAGCATAGAAATCTCCTTATGCTTAACCTTTGGCTATAAGTATATATAGTCCGCTGTAACTGGTGTGTCAACATTGGTTTCTTTGAAACAGGATTTTTTATAAACGGGTTGTGAGGTCCGCTGACCAGACAGAAATATTGGTTTTGTAGCAAGGATATTAGTAAAGAACGGCGTTTAACAACTAACAAGCAACAGAACAGCGTGATCAAAATGATTTCCACATGACATAATAATGTAAATAGATGTTAAGATTGGAGGTCCGCACATAGGCGGATCCAGAGGGGGGTGCAGGGGTGCGCACCCCTCCTTTTGTCCTGAAAGTTTATTAAATGACCATTGACACTCTCGTGAAAATGAAGTGTACACACACACACATCCTTTCTAAAAAAGCTGTATCCGGTCCTGTCCGCAGGAAAGACAGATCTAATTACAAGCAGACTGTGTGTATAACGTTTCTGACTGACTGCGATAAAACACTCATATCGTTTTCCTGTTATCAGAATCCTTTGATAATTGTTTATGAACAAGTTTTATGATTAAATTCTGTTATATATTTATCTCTATAATCTACACGAATAGGTTCAATTTCATCATAACCCAGCGGTGATCCCACCTGGAATGCGTCTTCAGCAACATATATGTGTCGTAAGGGGCGATTGAAGGGGTCAAGTGGTCAGTCTTGCTGACTATGCACGTTTCGTAAACGCTCATGATGTCAGTCACTGGATTGTCTGGTCCAAACTGAAACCCCGTAAAGCTGGAATTCTGTGGCTTAAAATAATCAATCAATTTAATGGCGCAATGTATACCGATTTAAGCAGCCGTTGACCTCTAGTCATACCCAGACGCGGTATATATTTTGAGGGATAATATTGCCAATTGTCCTGGATCACCGACCGATTCTAATACTCCTAATTACATCCTGCACGTTGTTTACCTGGCCACTGAGCCACAGTCGAGAAATCTGCGGCTTTCTCATCCCCCTCAAATCTTGAAGTTTTAACAAGGCTTAGACAAACGTCCCGACACGTCCCTCGCCTGTAGGTAAACTTAAAGTCCTCGATGTCTCATCTTAACACGGCTGTTCCGCCTTAGTTTATGACATAATCCCTGTGGTCGTGCGAGCTTTGTAAACAGATAAATACGGAAGATATTTCACGGACATATGTAATGTTATTTTTCTGTCCTGTTATTTCGTGTCAAAGTTGTTTTAATGTTGCGAGGGTATTGTTGTTCGGGGTTGTATTAACCGCCATGCCTGTTGACAGGGGGTATTTCGTGCAAATATTGCTCTC